TTATTTTTATTTGAGATTGTATTACTTTAATATATTTGTGGTGCTGTTATCACTTAATTTCTTAACTTACCCACTGTGGTGATGACAACAGTTTCTTGCTAGGACCCTGAAGAATGCAGCACTCCGTCATACAACTGAGCCGACATTAGTGAACATTTCTCCTCTGGGCGCAATTTGGGGTGGATAAGAATCAGATTTACAAAGCAACACCCTCTCTTTGCCGAGCTCATACTTTGCTCTGTGGCCTGTGCTCAACTCTGTGTGTGTGTTACCTCATGTAGTGACTGTAATCAATTGGGGCTGGATGTTCTGATATTATTTCAAGATAAGGAAAGTGATTTGCCGCAAGTCAATCAGGTAGGAGGCCAAACAGCATTCTAACCAGCTCCTCCTGACTCCACAACCCTTTCCTCTTGTGCTTGCCAGCCTCCAATTGCCAAAAAAAAAAAAAAAAAGTACTTTGTAATTGTAGCCTCATGACACCTTCACCCTATCTTTGTGGCGAGGGTTCCTTTACAATGCCCATTTGGTGGTTTGGAAAATAGAATCTCAGGGAATTGAACCTAATTCTTCAGTTATAAATTTGTAAAGCTGAAATTTAAATGTAGTTCTACTAGAATCCAAATCCATCCTGCTTCCACACAGCTCATGGCTGACATATCAACTCTTTTTCCAAGACTCCATCCTGAGCAGGTTTCAGAAAGAACTCTGGCTGGCTCTGCTCCCAGCCCCTGGACAAAGGTTGGCCTCCTCCACCGTTGGTGTCATCTTTCCTCTGATTGCCTGGCTCCTTTTCAGGCTCTCTGAGCTCTCCATTCCTGTGTCAGTTTTCAGTGACATCACCTGTTATTCATGTTTTTACAGGCCTCTAGGAAGAGAAAATCCACATGGATTTCAGAATGGTTCAGGATGTAAATGACTGGTCAAGATTGACTTGGCCCCCCTAAAAGGGGATGGTATTGATGGCACAGGGGTATAAATCTCATGATGGGCCAGAAAAATCATTCACAGAGCAGCTAAAGGTCTATGTAGAGTCTTAAAATGGCCACAAGCTACCTGAAAATCTGGGTACCACTTCATCTGGAAGTCTATAGCCTCTGTCTGCTGGATCAAAGTCCAGTGGCTTCCTTTGGAATTGGATTAGGTGGGAAAATAGCTCCTATGCCATTTTGTTATGAAAAATGGTAATGGTGATATGATAAAGCTAGTATTCCTAGACCACTTTGCATACATTATTTCATTTTAATATTCACAAAGTCCTTTTACTTGCTGCCGTAATCGTTTCTAGCTGCTATAACAAAATACTCTTAACTGGGAAGCTTAAAAAGCAATTATTTATTTCTCCCCATTTGAGAGGGTGGGAAGATCAAAGTCAAAGTTTTGGCAGATTGAGTTCTTGGAAAGAGTTCTTGCTCATAGCTAGCTTCCTTCCCACTGTGTCCTCACTTGGCCGAGAGGTCTGGTCTCTTCCTCATCTTCTAAGAATACTAATCTCATTTTGGGAGCCATGCCCCCATGGTCTATCTAAATCTAATTACTTGACAATAGCCTCACTTCTCACGCCATCACTCTGGCATTAGGGCTTCAACATATAAATTTGGAGGAGACACAAACATTCAGAAGGGAATGCCACTGTGGAGTCCTGGGCATATTCTGTATCTTCTCTGTGCTTCTGCTGCCTCATGCAGCTGATCAATGGGCGTGTGTGTGTGTGTGTGTGTGTGTGTGTGTGTATCATCACATTCAACTTAAAAACAAGTGATTAGATGATGTGTGCAAGTAACTCTAGATTTAAATATATATATATATATATATATATATAAAATCATAAGTGTCAAAATACAAGCTGAACCCAATTCTAAGAAAAATTTTCAGTGTGGGAGTTAAAAAAAATTTTCCAGAGAGAATAAAAATGTGGGTTTGTCCCATGATATAAACGTTTAAGGAGATCAAATACATACTTATGAAATTAGACTTGATAATTTAGAAGCAATTATATGTTTATATTATATATAATATGATAAATATGTATTACTATGTTGTGCTTCCACATTTAGAAATCAATTTCTAACTCAAATTCTTCACAGTCCTCTCCAACATCGGTGTTTTCTCATCTCCGAAGCCAATTTTGATTCTTCAAAGGCAGTTTCCAGGACTCAGATTCTGTTCCCTCTAAGGAGAGGGAAAGGCGGGTCCTTGTGAATCAGGATGATCTTGACAAACCACAGTGAGGCCTTCATGTGGCTTAGCATATATATACATTAATCCTTTATGTGTGTGTTTGTGACCACCACAATGTAGATTCCTTTCAAATGTCTGCACACCACTTGTATACAACATCATTCATATACTCCAAGGGTAAGTCCACCTCCCAAGGAATCCCAGCCAAATATGAGTTCAATTTCTTTAATATTTGTTTTCCTGATTTCACCATGTCACCTCTTAAGACCTCCAAAACTCTGAAATCTTTGAAAGTCAATATGTCCCCACCCTAACTGTACCTAGCATGTCAAAATTAAGATCCTGAGAAACTGCCACCTCCTAAGCATTCTTAAGAACTGCCTCTGTCCTATGGGAAGGTGGGCGTGGGAGCACACCTAGGAGTAAAACATGAAGAGGGTGAACCACAATGACAATGGTGAGGGTCTCTTGGGTGCTGGAATCCTTCCTCATGGGCTGTTTTTAAGTTTGTTTGTAGATCTGTACTTCCTAGATTATCTACCACAAGCATGAATTACTTACTTATTAAGGAATAAAACAAGCAATAAAGACTGTGTTTACCTTTGTTAGTAGAAAATAAAAAGCTTGGTAGATTCCAGGCTCCAGGACCACTCAGGTGTGGCCCAGGTTCAGTCACCCCGTCCATCCAGGCAGTCAGTACCCTGACTCCAGAGGCAGGCATGATCTAGGAGGGTGTCCATTTTTCCTCCCTATGCAGCAGGAAATGGTAACTGAAAGAGGATACTGAGAATTTCCTAGCCTGAAAGCCTGCGGGGAGGCTTATGGTGGGGGACATAAACCCATCTCCCAGCCATTTTCCCCAAAGCACTATGATTTCACTACACTGGGAAGTGGAGAAGCTTCTGGTCCTGGCCACTTCAAAATAAGTGCCCACTCAGCTGTGTGACACAGGGAAGGACCCAGACACTGAGCCCCAGGACCATATTCTAGCAACCCAACCCCAAACTCCTAGTTTGTCATCCACTGGAAAAGGAACACTGGTCTGTGGCTACACAGGCCCATTTGGTGATCCCACTTCTTCTTTGGCCTGGTCCCCACTGCAGCCTGCAGGGCAGCACCACCAACCAGGCTCAGGAGGATGCACCGCCAGGTATAACTGTACCAGGGGAGCTGAGCGCCACCACACCCCCACCCAGCAGCCTGAACCCTGTACCTGCAGGTACAGTGGACTAGAGAGAGCCCATGGACAGGGAGGGGCTTGAGGAGCAGCTATCTTGGACACTGGTCCCAGCTGAAGCTCCCTCCTGCCTCGTTCCTCCAGGCCCAGCTTGCTGATATTTTGCCCAGTTCAGAAACCCTCCCAGTACTCTGTAGGAGTTCTGTGCTTGGGATTGAGGTCTCTGATGTTTTACTGCTAGGTGGGCTGCCCTTGCCACCTTCCAGAGGAGAGAGAGCGTGCTTAGAAATCTTACGGTTGGGATTTTCTCAGTCTTCATGACTGTGGCATGCTTGGCGGCTAGGAAGTTTCTGTGCAAAGACACAGGATGCCTGGCTGCTGTAGCAATGACCTTCAATAGGAAGCTCTATGTTAGAGTCTTAACAGCCTCACCTTAATCTAAGGCACACAGCTCCTTGGGAATAAAGGAACTCTCTTGTTAGAAGACCATAATGTTTCACTGAACCTAAATCTGTCCACATAGCAGTAACTTTATACAATTGGCATTCTTGAGAGCTACACAAAGCTGCTAACATTGCATATTGCAACTTAGTATGTAACTGAGGAATAAGCTGCATAATGTTGCTAAGTCTGTAAACTGCCTAGTAATACAATGAACAATATGTACTAATTATGCTGATGACCTATAGTAACCTATGGATATAAATAAAGCTTGGCAGCTTGGTCCCTCTGCCTTTCTGCCATCTTAATTTCCTACCTCTGCATCTTGTCTCTGTGTCTTTTTATTTTCCTCAGAGCACTCCACCAGTGTTGAGGAGGAAGGGTAGCTCTTGACAGTCGAGAGTGGTGGGACATGCAGGGCTGCTCCTTGGGTTATGGGGAGCTTAAGCTTGAAAACACACAACTACCTCTGGCAGGTGCCCTTCCATCCAGGGAAAGCCAAGATCCATGACAACTGGAACCTCCCAAGAGTGAATGCTGAGGGGATCTCTGGGTCTGCAGGTGTCTGTGTTGGATTGGACTGGTGAAAGGTAACATATCTTACACTGTAGGACCACTAGGAGGCCTAGTATTGTCTCCAGAACAGCTAAGCAATGAAGACACAGTCAAAAACTGGAGACCTGGGGTTGAGGCTCAGTTGCAGAGTGCTTGCCTAGCATGTGGGAGGCACTGGGTTCAATTCTCAGCACTGCACAGAAATGAATAAAGGCCTGTTGACAACTAAAAAAATAAAATTGGAGAATCTTGATAACCAAAATTCAAAGAAAGCAACCCAAATATGAATAAAACCAGATTTTGTGAGCACACAGCTGGGTTCTTCTGGCTTCCACACAGAGAGAAAGGACTGTGGACACAGGGTACCATTCCCTCCCAACCTGCTCTGCTGAACCCCTCAGTCAGACTCTGGGTGGCTCCTTAGATGTGTTCATAGCAGCTGTTCCCTCCACTGTTCCCAGAGGAAGTGCAGGAAGACACACAGGCCACGAACTCAAAGCTGCCACCACCTGAAAATGCTGCTCAGCCAAGAAACTTGCCCCCCAGCAGTTCCCCTTCTGACTGACCAGGCCCAGGCAGGACAGCAGACAGAGCTCTGACAGCTCAGGGCCGGGGCTCCTGGCTGTCAAACCCAGCCCCACCCACCCTCACCAGAGCAAGGCTAGATACAAACACAAGCTCACACCTTCAAGGGAGGTCAGGGTGTCCTTACCCAGCCCCAGCAAGCGAGATCCTGGAGATGCCACCACCACTTGCTCACCTGTTGGTGCACTGCCTATCTAATGCCCTTGCTTTCCCCTTCAGAGGCCCAGGGAGGTTACCACCCTGTTCCAAGCTTGGAGGTATGGGGGGGGCGCTTCTATTGGGGCCATGCCACTGCCCGCCTTTTCAGAGAAGAGCTCTCTTGAAGAGGCAGGGATATGTCTCCCTACAGAATGCGCAGGTATTGCCAGCCAAAGACCTGCTTGACACCCTAGTCCCCACCTGCTCCATGCCCCAAGAGCTATTCTCAATTCTCCGGCTGCCCTCACCTCCACTGGACTCCAGGCCACCTGTGCTGCCATCCTGGCCGCCTCTGGGGAGGGGCGGGGTCACTGCACCAGTCTGAGGGGAGAGATCGCTGGCCTGGCCATAGCTGCCACCCCTCAACCTTTGGGCTTTCCTTCATCTACAACCCTTCCCAGATGATTGGGACACCACATTGGGTCAGGAGGTGGATCAGTGGGACCTGGATCACAGCCCCAGTGCCAGCACTCAACAGTCCTCCCAGGACCCACACACGCACCAGGCACGCAGTTCCCACGCCTATTTCTCCAGCATCTGGTGCAAGCATGTGGACTTTGCACGCGCATGCAAACTTTGCACACGCATGGGGAATTTGCACGTCATTTCCTGGCGCAAGTCTGCCTCTTGCCCAGTGTGGATGGTTTTCCTCACATGCTCGTGTGTTCTCCACTCATTCCTTCCTCAGCTGTGTCCTAGCAACAGGTCTGACAGCCATTTTGCTTGAAGCTGCGTGGGCAGCCGAAGAAGGAGCTTCTGTGATGGACACTAGAATTACTGACTAGCGCCTTCGCTAAGACTGCTATGGGGACTTCCCAGGGCAAGTGTTGTCCCTCAGCCCTGCCCCGGCGCTGGGGGGGCAGAGACCTGCCAGAAGGGTCCTACAAGAAGCCCGGTCGTGGACCCCGCTAACTTCCCTATACTGGTTGGCCACTCGAGGCTGCCTGGGCCAGTGCCACCACTCGCAGGTCATCTTGCTGCCACCCTGCAACTGCTCCTCAGCGGTTGCAAAAAGTGCCTCCTTGGTGCTTTTCCAGGGTCCTGCGGACCCTTGGATCTTTTCTCCGAGACTTGGACATTGCCACCTCCCTTCGCATGCCTGGTCTCCTGAAGAAGATGCTGCTGTCAGCTGCAGCTTTCAGGGCTTCCTGCAGCTCAGTCCGCAGACCCAGCCAGCAGACGCCTTGTAGGGCTCAGGGGCAGGAAGTCGCCCCTTGCCAGTTTCCAGCACCCCAAGAACCCACCCAGGGAGGATTGTGATCATAGCTCCTGGAGACAGAGGCTAAGTGGTGGCTGAGCAAGCCGAGCACGCTGTAGATAGAGAACATCAGAGAGGAGTCCCCAGGTCACTGGAAGAGCACAATCTACTTTTAGGCCCCTGGGGGCCCATAGCTGTGTGCCTGCCTTTGTGCTGAGGCCTGGGGCTCTGCAGGCAAACCTCTGCACCCAGAGCTCCCAAGACAGAGCTGAGAGCTCCCGGGCCACCTGCATGAGCTCCTGCCCCAAAAGAAACCCCATCAGCAGCTCCTACAGCTCTACGCGAGGTCTCCAAGCCCTGAAGAGGAGGGCTCCAGACCCATCCAAAGGGGAGCCCCCCTCCCCCCCGGGATGCTCTTCATCCCCAGGGATTCCCCCAAAGAAGGCCCAGGGTGAGAAGGTGGCAGAAGGCAGGGCAGGACAGCCATTGCCCAGGAAGAAGTCCTCACCCACAAGAGACACCGGTAGGCCATGGAAACGCAAGTTTCCGAGGGGAACCTCTGAAGCTGCCACCACCTCTGTTAGTGGCCTGTCCAGTGACTGCTGAGGACCTAGACCAGGAGAAGAAGAAAGCTCTGCAGCGCATCAACCATCTTCTGATGGGTGAGACCCAGGCCATTGGGAACAGCTGTGCCATAGCCCCACAAACCCATGGGGGGGATCCCTCTCCACTGGGAGGGGCCATGCCTCTGGCATCAGTGGACCTCAGTCAGACCTCCCCCCCCTCAGCAGCATAACCATGGTGGCCCACACCCCAGTGTTGGTTGGCTCTGCTGTCTCATCTCAGATTCACCCTACCATCACCAATGTTACAGGACCGCTCTCCCTCAGCCTGCCAATTGCTGCTTTGGCCCTTCCTCCCAGGCCCTCTTTCAGCACATTGGCAGGCTTGGCTGCACAGCCAGTGGCCCCCTTTGGGGTCACGCCCTTGAACACTATTATGCCTTCACAGCCCCCACATCTGGGGCCTCCCTCCACCTTGGGTAGGAGCTTCTGGCACTCTCACCAGGGCCCAAACCCCTAATGTACTCACAGGCCCTCACCTGCAGCAAGCTCCAGCTCTCTAGTTCGAAGGATGTGAGGAAACATTCCGCAGGGGAAGCAGCCTCTCACCCCTGGAGCCACCGTCCCACCAAGCTCTGGGGTTCCTGGTGGGATGAAGCCTGGAGCCCCCAGCTTTGTCAGCTGTCATCAGCTTGGACACGTGGGAGCTCCAGGTCCAGGGGCAGCAGGTTGTTGACTGTGGGCCCAACAACCTTGAGGAGCCTAAACTACTTATCCCTTGGGGCTGACAAACATAGAAACACTACCATGGGTGCTCATGCCAGAACCCAGACACACTCAGTGACCTCAATGGCAGCTGCGAGGACAGACTTGTCCTTGGGTTGGACATCACACAAGGAAATATCAAGCTCAAAAAGTAGAGAAACCCCCAAAACTAGAGAGCACCATGGGGCAAGTTTGGGAAATGACACCTACACTGCCCCTAGCCAGAGCACCACCATGGCACCTGGAAAACACACAAAAGAGAGTAAAAAGGGCAAGGAAAGAGTGGAGTTCCTACCCCGAGTGCCATACCTCAAAGCCTGCCCACCCAGAAAAACCAAAGCTCACCTCAAAGGACAAATACTACAAAGGGTATCTCTAGTTTCCCTTCAGTCCCTGGGACATCAAGGACATCAGAGAGCCCAGACTTGCTCCCTGAACTAATGTCAGCCTTTGGGGCCTGGTGTAGCTCCTCCCAAAGAGGAGAATCCCCAAGCAACAGGCAGCAACATGGGGCAAGGTTGGAACAGAACACCTCCAGTGCCCCTAGACAGAGCACCACCATGGCACCCAGAAAACACACAAAAGAGGGTAAAAAGGGACAAGGAAATAGTGGTGTTTCAAACCCAAGTCCCATCCCTCAAAGCCTGCCCACCCAGAAACACCTAAGCTCACCTTGTGGGACAAGCAGTGCAGCCAGAAAGGATACCTCTAGTTTCCCTTTGGTCCCTGTGACATCGAGAGGATCTGGGAGCCATGACTTGCTTCCTGAACTCATTACAGCTTTTGAGGCCTTGTGTTTGAGGCCTTGTGTATCTCCTCCCAAAGTAAAGGGACCCCAAGCAACAGGCAGCAACATGGGGCACAGTTAGAACAGAACACCTCCAGTGCCCCTAGCCAGAGCACCACCATGGGGACCAAGGGACAGAAAGCAAGGCACACACCAGGGAAAGAAACCACTGGTGTGGCCACAGTTACTGCCATCCTCCAAAGCCTGCTCACACAGAAAGGCTTAAGCTCTCCTGGGGGAACCAGCACCACACTCCCATAATCAACCTCTACTTTGAAGTCCACCCATATTCCATCTATGAGACCTGGGAGTCCAGACTGGCTCCCAGATCTGATCTCTGCCTTTGGGGCCATGGTCATCAGCCCCAGTGGAGAAACGAGAAGCGTGAAAAAGCGCTAAGAACACACTTGGGCTTTATCACCTTCAGCCCCATTACTCAGATAGGGTGATGCTAACTGCTTTAAGGACTGACACTGCCTAAATGCCAACAGTCCTCCACTGCCCTCAGCTGGCCTCAGCTGACCTCAGCTGCCTCCACTCCATGGGGTCACTGGGCATCCTATCACCTCCACCATAGGATGGTGAGTCTGGCATGCTCTGCCCCTTGAAGACTTGTGAGGGCACTTTGGCCAGGGCACCCACCTCAGTGGGGCAGGGCCATGTCCCCTAAGACAACAACCCATGGGAGCAATCCCAAGGTCAGCCACTTGCTCTGTCTCAACCTACACTCCCTCTCCTCTTCTTGTCTCTAAACACAAAGAATTTTAACTTTCTTAACCATGACGACCCTGAAAATGATGGAACCCTTTTGGCACATCTTTGTCTAATGCTGTCGTAATTATAGCTCACAAACTGCAGACAAGAGTCATCTCTTCAGAAAGCCCAGTGGAGGCTCTCGTCCTTCACCAGGCTGACACCCTAATACTCCCCAGTCCAATAGAAATCTAATTAGACTGTGCCTGTTACAGGAGCAGCAGAAAAGCCCCAGGAGCAGGCTCCCCTGCAGCCTCCCAAAACCACTTCTTAGACCTGCACTACACTCACCACTGTCTCCATCCCCCCACAACACCTGGTTCCATTCCTGGGCAGGGACGTCCCCCTCACATTGTTCTGCTCATGGTTGTTGTGGTTCTGTCCTGGTCAGGTTTTAAATCAGAACACAGTAAACTTGGAGGCTGAGTTTAGACAAGTTCCTTCCACATCTAGGCTTTGGAACATTTTGGGTAACATGATACTGGTGTTATTGCTTCTTCTAGAATCTGGTCAAATTCAGCATTGACTCCATTGGGACCTGAGCTTATCTCTGTCATAAGACCCTACTGCAGTCTCCTTACTTGTCCCTCCTATTATCTGAATGTTTGTATCTTCTTGATTCATTTTGGGTCCCTAAATTTGTCGGTTTCTCCTAGATTTTTCAACATATTTGCATGTAGTTGTTCAAAATCCTCCCTAATGATCCTTTGAATTTCCTTGGAATCTGTTGTAAGACCTCCCTTTTTAAGTTTCATTGTATTGGTCTGGGTCTAATCTCTTTTTCTTTTGTTAATTTAGCTAAAGTTTTGCCACCTTTGCTTTATGCTTTCAAAGAACTACTCTTTGTTCCCATGAACTTTGGTGGTGCTCCTCTACTTCCTATTGCATTTTTTCACCCTAATCTTGATTATTTCTTTCCTTCTCCTGACTTTAGACTGGTTTATGTTTTCCTGAGCCATCACCAGGAAATTTACTTGAGGTCTCTCTCTTCTGTCTTTAGGTACAGTTTCCTGTAGTCTTTCCTTTTCATAGTGCTGTTTCTGGATTCCACAAGTTCTGATATGTTGTCTTTCCATATTCTTCTGACTCTAGGGATTTTTCACTTGTTTGATGGTGTGAGGCATAATCTTTGAGTGTTTGTGAGTTTTCTGTAGGTTCTTCTGCTCTTAGTTTCTGGTTTCATCTCATCGTGATTGGAAAGCATATAAGATTTTTTGGTATTTTTAAGAACTTGCTTTATGGCCTAATACATAATATACCTTGGGGAATGTTCCTTGTGCTGGTGAGTGGCATGTGTACCCCACAGCTGTTGCATGGCCTTTTCTATCAATGTCTGTTAAGTTCACTCGTCCCATAGTGCTACTTAACTCTGACATTCCCTTGTTGATTGTTCATCTGGAAGATCTACCTCCCAGAGAGATGGGCTCTGAAGTCACCCCATTTTATTTTTTTGGAGCCTATGGCTTCCTTTTTGTCTAGTAGTGTTTGATAAAATTGGGTGCTCCAATATTCGTGCATTTATATGTATTGGTGACTTTGTGATACCTTCTTGCTGTATTTCCCTTGATGAACATAGAGTGACCTTGTTTGTCTCTTGTGCCTGGCTTTGGCTTCAGTGTGTTTGTCATATATAAGCATCGTGAGCTCTCCCTGCCTCTACACTCCACTTGCTTGGAAAATTATTTTCCATCTTTACATTTTCAGTTTTGCTCACTTTTGCAGAGGAGGGGAGTTTCTTGTGGAAATTAGATTTAAAAAAAGATTCAATCTATCCCTCTATCTTTAAATTGAAGAATAAAGACCATGTGTACTCAAGGTTATTCTGAAAGGTATGGTATGTTTCTTATCTTTTTGTTGTCTTTCTTTCTTTCTTTCTTCCTTTCTTTCTCTTTTTTGCTTGTCTTTTTGGTGAAGAAGGAAACATGGAATTCTCAGATGTTTCAGGGTTTTCTAAATTGATAACATGTGACACTCTCATTTCTCAATTGTGTATCTATTCTCCTAGAGACACTTCCTGAGCTCTCATGGTTGTGTTCATCTTTCTTCCTCTTCTGTGTGTAGGATTCCTTTAAGTATCTGTCCAGCTGGTTTAGTGCCCATGAATTCTGTTAGGATCTTCTCATCTTGGAAGGTCTCTAATTCTCTTCCAGTTCTGAAGGCACTGGTTGTAGTAATCTAGGTTGGCACCTCTGTTCTTTCAGTGCTTGAAATACATCACTCTTGCTCGTGACCTGCATGGGGAGGGAGGAGGTAACCACTGAAGTGTGGGTTGGCTGAAAATAAAGGCCCGGATAGTAATATTAAGAACTAAACACAAAAGATGCAGGACAATATTGGAAGCAGTGGCTTGACAAGTGGAAGAGAACTGATGGGTCTGATGCTAACAAGAAGAAAAGCCTGGGAATGCTTCATTTATAGTGAAATACACCAAAGGGATTCAGTGAGGAGCATAATCAGAAAAACAGGATAAGAGTGGGGAAAACAAATTGTTTGAATCTTGGCAGGTTATTCCCATCTCTGGGTGGCTGTGTTAAGGTTGTGAGCTAAGGTTCACAAGGTCCAAGCTATTATTATTGCTATGCCAAACCCCATTAGATAATATTTGACCTTTTCTCAATCCCATTGGGAAGCATATTATTTGTCTGCAGTAATGACAGATATGCTTATAGCCAGCATGGCACTAAGCCTTTCTTCAAATTTGAGTGTGGAAACTTCATTTTCTACATAAATTTTCAAAGCATTAATTTAGTCTCAATCTCTTCTTCAATATTCTCCCAATTTTAAGGGCTTTGGAAGTATTTTGAACCAAATTATTGAGGCAATAAGCTTCATTAGATTACATTTCTTAAAAAGTACCATGATATTTATTACCTTTTCTCCTCACTCTTACATTTACAGTAATTAAAGCCTAAGGAGATTGAACATAGGCTCCTAGGACATAACAGGAGCCCTCTTTGCAATTGTTGTTTATAAAGTCAGACATGGAGCCATCAGTATATTTGAGAAAATCTGAGGCAGCAACTAAATTCCAGAGATCTTTTGGAATACCACCCTTATGAAAGTTAAAATATTACCAAGGGAACCTACAGGGGTCATAGCATCCTGATGTGGCTTTTCTCATTTCGTGGAGACCAATCCAAAATATATCCACATTTCTAGAGGCATTATGTTGTGCTGGCAAGACATTAACAAACTCTGTCAATTTAGGACAGGTGCCAAATTCTATTGCAGAATAATTAGGGCAGTAAGTTATTGGTGGATTTTTAATGGGAATGGCTGACTTTTTATGGGCAACTCTCATTTTAATAACTGTCCAGCCATTTGACCTTAAGTCCCAGGGGCCAGTATGCTCCCTTTTCCTTAAAAGTTACTTTTAAAACAGCCACCATGTTTATCATGGGACTAACATATAGGTGGATTCTCACTGTAGCCAATGTAATTAAATCCAGGCACATGCATTCATCTGTAAAACCTCCCATTATGTGAATATCATTAGTAGATACTGGGATGGATTCTCTAGTCCACAAAGCTGGATGTACTAAAGGTAGATCTGGAAAATAGGTCCAATAAGTTTCTCCATTGACTCCACTCAACTGGCAACTCAACAGAACCAGCATAGCCACAAACATGTGGTTGAGACTTACTACCTCCTTTTTGTTAAATTGTCTGCTCAGCCTGAAAGGCCAGGTCTTTCAGTTGTCTCCCCAATGACAGGTTGGGTTTTCTGGAAACATACAGGCATAGCCTCTACCCTATGTTATTACTGAATCTGGTTTATTCTAGTGCTCCATGTGTCACTCAGCAGGAGTGAGAATTTTAATATCACAATTTTGAAACCTTTTAAAATAATTGTGAGATTTAGTGGGGTTATATGAGATTTCATTTCCCCCTTTTTATTTTTAAAATTTTAGAAAAAAGTTGATATAAGCTGGAGCACACTTAGCCTTAAATTAGAGAATGGCCCAGCACTTTACAAGTATTTAAACAGCAAGAAATGACAATAAATATTTTTATTTGGCCAGGACAATTAGCAAAAGTGACCTGTGATGCATGTGAAGATTATTAAAGTCCTTGCTGTCCAGCCAAAGAGGGCACCACAGCAAAAGGAGGCCTCGATTTTTGTTGTTTTTATGAGTTTTTTGATTTTTTTCTTTGTGTCTATTAATGGGCTAAGCAATAAAATTATAAAATGGGGCCAGTATAGTACTGAAATACAGTTTTACAACTTGATTGTCTTATAGGTAATGATCTTATTATTATAAATTAACTTCAGTTGTTACATTAAAATTTGTACTTGTGTAAGGCTTTAACAGATAATAGTTTTAAAACTTGTAAGGATAATACAATATAAAACTAATGAGTAGGCCTGCAAGGTGGGCAGACCTGCGACCGACTGGCGGAGCAGGCCCAGCAGCCCGCCACGTGGTGGACACATCGCCCCAATTAGAGGAGGGGCAGAGCAGAGCCGCCACCCACACCTGAAAGGTAGGTAGACCTGTGACCTACCGGGAGAACAGGCCCAGCGGCCCGCCGGTGTGGGTAGACACATCACCCCAATTGGAGGAAGGGCCCAGCTGCCGCCCACAAGGTAGGCAGACCGTGCTTCCCGGAGAAGGGGCCCAGTGGCCTGCCGGCCTAGTTGAAAGATCACCCCAATTGGAGGAGGGGCACAGCCGCCACCTGCGCCTGCAAGGTAGGCAGACCTGCAACCTGAAGAACAGGCCCAGCGACCTGCCAGCGTGATAGACAGGTCATCACTATTGGAGGAGGGGCCCAGCGGCTCGCTGGCGTGATAGACAGATCACCCCAATTGGAGGAGGAGCGCAGCCGCCGCCCGCCCCTGTAAGGGAGACTTTGCAACTATACAAGAGCAATATAAATACATAGGGGGAAAATTCAATAACACAACAGTTTCACCAAGCAGAAAGAAATGCGAGCAGTATGAAAAGACAAGGAAAGAAAGGACCACAAGCAATGCAGGTCAACTCAACTTTAGAAGAGTAGCTGCAGCAGATGGAATGTCAGATAAAGAATTCAGGATTTACATGCTTCAGATGATCTGGAGTCTCAAGGAAGACATTAGATAGCAAAATCAGACAGTGAAAGATCACTTCGAAAATGAATTACATAAACAAATCCAAGAAGCAAAAGATCAACTATATAGGGAGATAGAGGTTATAAAAAACAAACAGAAATCCTAGAAATGCAGGAAGCAATAAATCAACTTAAAAACTCAATTGAGAATCCTACCAGCAGAGTAGAACATTTAGAAGATAGAACATCAGACAATAAACACAAAGTATTTCAACTTGAAAAGAACATAGACAGCTCAGTGAGACTGTTAAGAAACCATGAGCAGAACATCCAAGAAATTTGGGATAACATAAAGAGACCAAACTTAAGAGTCATTGGGATACAGGAAGGTATAGAGGTCCAAACCAAAGGAATGAGCTATCTAGTCAATGAAATAATACAAGAAGACTTCCCAGACTTGAAGAATGAGACAGAATCCCAAATCCTAGATGCCTACAGGACGCCGAATGTGCAAAATCATGAGATCCACAACTAGACACATTATAATGAAGATGCCCAACATACAGAATAAGGAGAGAATTTTAAAAGCTTCAAGAGAAAGAAAGCAGATTACATTTAGGGGTAAACCGATCAGGATTACAGCTGATCTTTCAACACAGACTCTGAAAGCTAGAAGATCCTGGAACAACATATTTCAAACGCTGAAAGAAAATGGGTTCCAACCAAGAATTGTGTATCCAGCAAAATTAAGCTTTAGGATGGAAGATGAAATTAAAACCTTTCACGATAAACAAAAGTTAAAAGAATTTGCAGCTAGAAAACCATGTCTTCAAAACATCCTTGGCAAAACATTACAGGAAGAGGAAATGGAAAATAACAATGAAAACCAACAGTGGGAGGTAGTACAGTAAAGGGAAAAAATAATCAAAGAGGAAAAACAAACCACATTAAGTAACATGAATAAACAAATATGGCTGGAAGAACAATCCATATCTCAATAATAACCCTAAATGTTAATGGCTTAAACTCACCAATTAAGAGACACAGGCTAGTAGAATGGATAAAAAAAGATCCAACAATATGCTGCCTACAGGAGACACATTTGATAGGAAAAGACATACATAGACTGAAGGTGAAAGGTTGGGAAAAATCATATCACTCATATGGATTTCGGAAACAAGCAGGAGTGTCCATACTCATATCAAATAAAATAGATTTCAAGCCAAAGTTAATCAAAAGGGATAA